TATATATATAGTCTCTTCCCTGACCACATCTATTGGCCAGTTGTAAATAGACCCAGCCTTTTTAAAATAGACTCCACCTCCAAGACCCACCACTGGTTGGTTTTAGACATCACTTTTGTTGGCTGTTTACAAAGAGTTCCAATTTTGGAATTGTCCCCACCTCTATGAATGGTCATTGGCTGGCTACAAAGGAGCCCCGCCCCTCTACTCCCTCCCTCCGAGTCCCACTGAAGGGGGCGAAATCCCCAAGAAGCAGAGGAGTCCGCAGCCTCTCTCTTGAGCCGAGATGGGGAGTAAAGGTGGGCTTGCGGGGCGACCTGGGGCATGGGCTGGGGGACAGCAGAAAGAGATCCAGATTCACCTTTATCACCTTTATGATCGGGGCGCATGCTACTCCCGGTCCTGGACTACTCAGAGCCGCAGGCTGGGGCTGGTGGGCTGAAGGAGGGATCCGGGGAGAGTAATGAGAGGTTGTGGGGTTCGCTCTCCACCAAGCTCGGGCTTTGGAGCCTAGAAGCGGGGAGACCCCCTCCCCCAGCCTCGGGCCCAGGAGGCGCTGTCACTCAGGGGCTGGATGGGCCAGCACAGCTGCGGGCCAGGCCACCTCCCCGCAGCGTGCCTAAACTTAGCCCCCACCTAGGGCGACTCGGCCCCTCCCCCACGCGCTGGCTTCAGTTTGGGGAGTCTGCCCTGGCGGGGCGAAGGCCCTGTGTTGGGGACGGAGGTGGCCCCCATTTATGGGTAAAAGGAGAATGTGTATGGAAGGGGGAGCAGTCTGTGGGATGGGTCTGTTTGCCTGGAAGATGGGGAGAGCAGAGGAACAGAGAGATAGTCAGCTCCAGAGGGCTTCAGAGGGCCCCTTCCCAGACGGTGGAAATTTAGACGGTGAGATGCAACCCTGGAGTTGAGCTCACCAGTCAGGGCTCAGGTTGGGAGGGGAGTTTAGAGTCAGAAATTTGAGTTAGGGCTTAGAAAGGAGATGTGTTATTCATAATTTAGGACTCAGAACACTCACGTGTTGGTAGGGAGGTCAAGGTGTTCCCACTCTGCACTGTCTGGCTGGCAAAGATGAAAAAAAAAAAAAAAGAAAAAATTCATCCGTTGTTGGCCAGGATGCTGGATTACTCTTTTTTTTGGTGGAACCGGGGATTGAACTCAGGCCCTTGTGCTTGCCAGGCAAGCGCTTATTCTGCTGAGCTATCTCCCCGGCCCCAAAAGATTACTCTTATGTAGTTTATGAAAATGAAAGTTATTAGTCTTAGCCTGGCATGAGGGTGGATGCCTATGATCCTAACACTGGAGAGGGGTTGAGACAGGAGAGGATCCACAGGAGTTTGAGCCCATTGTGAACTACAAGGCCAGCTTAGGTTTTTTTTTTTTTGCTTCAATAAAACAGAACAAAGAATTATTAGTCTTTTTCTTTCTTTTTTTTTTTTTT